CTAAACAAAATCTATTTAGGAAGGAAAATTCATAAAAAAACTCAAATATTTCATCCTAAAGCCAAGTATAAAATTGAATGTTATGTCTTTTGCTTCTGGTGCTCCATTTTTATGGGTAGTTGAGTGGTATAACTTCTGATGAAACACAATTCTTTGTTGGTCTCAATATTTTCTTGATTTTCCCCCTCTCTTCCATGTAACTGTAATATATGTTTTATGTCCTAACCACTTTCATTTACGTAAGCCCTATTAAATATTATTAAATATTATACATGTAATTAAAATATAGTACTGATATATCAATATTGACATACTACCGAATATTGTTTTATTTCTCTTATACGTGTTAGGCTAGTTGATTTTTAATTTCAAACTTGAAGTTTCAAGTAGTTTATTCTGAACTCTGTTCATCTTAATTCCATCTCCAGATGTTTATTGAAGTATAGTCAGATAAAGGGAACACTGGGAAAATGATTATTGTCTAGATATTTCTTCAAACTGTGACTAGTACTCTGATATCTCCCTGATTAATAAGTGTCAAACTCCTATTCCCAGTTAATTTTAAACAGCAAAGAGAGGTCATTGAAATTAGAGCATTCCTTTTGAAAGAAATCAGAGGCTTTCTTTGGCTTTCAAATTCCGAACAATTCATGTATTTCCTGTATTCATTGTCAGGAAATGCTTGACTTTTGTAGCAGTAACGGTTACTAGTAGGAGATCTTTTTAACCGGTAGTGGCATACTAATATAAACTTCAAGAAATATTACTCATTCATAAAGAGAGAACGCTTCCTAGTAAATGTGGCAAAAACCTCTTATTAAGGATTATATTCGTTTATCAAATTTAGTATTCCTTGGGAATGGCTCCTCTCTTCAGCTGGATTCCTGATGAAAAGGTAGCTTATATCATTATTCTTGTTTTTTCTGAATTTTCTTTTGCATGGATAAGCTAAACAAATCTCAAATCATGTGTCAGTCTTAAGATTTATTCTTAAAGTTAAAAGGATTATTGTGCTTAACACTACCAGGATTCTTTGGTGCTTGCTAATTTAACTCTAAAAACTAATTAAATAATATGAAGTTTGATAGCACAGTGTTCTAACATAACACTGTTCCTACAGGAAGGAATGGCTTTGATGTCTGTGATTGTTTACTTAGGTAATCTGAGTCCCTTAGTAAAGGCACTGAAGCAATAGGAAGAAAAAGCTAACCATAAAGACTGTGCTGCTTCTTGGCAATACTGTGCTGTTTCTCAATATTGTGAGGCTTTTGAAAGTTAAACCTGTGTAAGGCATTATGTTTTTTGTCATTTTGTATGGATGCATTGGTCTTTTAATATTTGAGAAAATAGAAGTTTATCAAAATGTTTCTGATTAAATACTAGAAATTAGTATATTAGTCATCTTTTACCAGTTCTGTGTAGACTATTCCTTTTAAAGGTCTCTGAAATGATTTGCAGCTGTTGCCTCCATAGCTTTCAGAGCATACAAATATGGTTAGAATACTTCATTTATAGGATTTTTACCCTGTTTAAAACATAAGACTTTTCCTGTTAACATTTAAAGTAGGTAAAGACTATCTTTTAAAATTCTAAGTGGTTTCAATTGTCCTTTGATTTTTGGTAGTAGCCTTGTTGTAATTCCAAATTATGTTAGTTCCAAATTATCTTTTGTGGCTTAATGGTATACTTATACTAAGAAAATTAAAAAAAATAACCATTTTTATATTTTTTATAGCTAATACCAGATGCCATATGAAATGGCTTTTTTGGGATAAGATAATGGACTGGAGAATTTTAGAGCTATCAAGGATCTTAAAAACAGATTCAAGAGATTAAGTGATTTGCCCAGTGGCAGACCTGGGTAAAACTTTCAGGTATTTTTATATGGATAATCCATTGTCATCTTAAATAATCATGTGAAAAACTGAGCTTATGATGGGAATTTTAGAATGGCAAGTGACCTAGCTTGTGCATATTTTGATTTCTTTGTTTCTGTTATATGGAAACACCGTGTAAACAAACCATGATAAACCTTGCTGTTATTTTAGACTTTCCCCTCTTTTTTAACCCCTCCCCCAACCTATTTAAATGGTTGCCCCTGTCAATCCATCCTTATTAACTGATTCTGTATCCAAAAATCTCATTGTCATTGTAGGGCAATATGAAGGTTGAAAAACCCCATAAAAGAGGGTCCTAAATTCTGTACCCAAAACACATGAATTAAAGCATTTTCTCCCCGAATTTCTAGAATTGTATTTGTGAGTTGAGTAGCACCTAGTTTACTGAACTAGATGAGTGATATTTGATAAAGCATGATTTCTGATCAAGAGGAATCTTTTTTTTTTTAGGCAATTGGGGTTGAGTGACTTGCCCAGGGTCACACAGCTAGTAAGTGTCAAGTGTTTGGTCTGAGGCCAGATTTGAACTCAAGTCCTCCTGACTTCAGGGCTGGTGCTCTATCCGCTGTGCCACCTAAGTGCAAGAGGAATCATTTTTAAGGAGCTTTTATATTAATATTTTTGGCTTTTCATTACTTTTTCATTACCTTTATTTCTAAATATACCCCTTTCCAACTTATCCAGAGAACTATTCCATGTAACAAAGAATGAATGAATTAATGAAAAATCTTATATAAAGCACTTACTATGTGCCAAGCACTGCTGTAAGCATTGGGGAGACACATATAAGGACAACTCTTTACTCTTCAGGAGCTTAAATTCTTTTAAAAATTTTAATTTTTCTTCTGAATTTAATAAACACCAAGTAAAATACACATTTCCACATGAATAATAGACCAGAAAAAAGGAGATTGTATGTAAAGCTGCAAATTTTCATTATGTACAGTTTGCTTTTCTTTTTCAATATATAACTTTCAAGGTGGTACTGCTCATCCACAGTTCTTTCTGGCCTTCCTTCTGTTCAGAGAGCTTACATTATGACAGGGAAGACAATTGTAAAGGAGAGTGATGACCAGGGATGGGGCAAGAGAGAGAAAGAGAGAGAGAGAGAGAGAGAGAGAGAGAGAGAGAGAGAGAGAGAGAGAGAGAGAGAGAGAGAGAGAGAGAGAGAGAGAGAGAATGAATATAAATGAATATATGAGAAATTCCAGTATATGAACCAGGAACAGCATGTGTGGTGTTTTCTGATCATAGTAGTAAGCATCATGTATGTTAGTTTTGCTGATATTACTTACCTCAGTTCGTTTCAGTCTTTTCAGTGTTGTTCTTATTCATAGTTTCTTATAGTGCAGTACAATTTCATTACTTTTGTGTGTGTCATTTTTTATTAATTTCCCAATCCATAGACATCAGTTTCTTTCCATTTTTTGCTACCACAAAAAATGCTACTATATATATTTTGGGATGCATGGAGGTTTTATTTTTTAATCTTTAATCCCTTTGGTATGTGCCTAGTAGTGGAATATCTGGGTGAAAGAATATAGGCATTTTGTTAATTTTTTTTTTTGCCATAATTCCAAATTGTTTTCTGTAGTGGTTGGGCCAACTCATACTCCACTAATAGTGTTTTAGCATGGCTATCTTTAAAAAAAAAACTCTTTGACATTGAGATGTTGACTATTCCTGTCTTTTCTTATCTTTGCTGATTATAATCAGCACAAGTGTGAGGTGAGACCTCAAGGTTCTCTTGATTTGCATTTCTCTTTAATATGAAGTTAATTTGTAATTTTTTGGAGAAGTTTGTTCATATCCTGTGACTTTCCATTGGGAAATGGCTCTTGGTCTTACATATTTCTGTTAGTTCCTTATATATCTTAGATAGTTGCCCCTCAGTGGAGATACTAAATGAAAATAAATCATTTTAAAACTCTTGGTGCTTTTGCCAGCCAGCACCATTACTTGAGACTCTGGCTTGAGAACCAACAGTACTGAACTGATAAGGGGAAGAGACGGCACGGAGTTAAGCTGACTTGATCATGTGTTGGCCTGTAACACCTGACTTCTTTTGCAAGCTGTGTCATGTGTAAAGTCCCTTATCTCAAAGACATAACATAGGTTTTCCATTACTCTTTAAAAGGAAGTGATAGATATGAATGTATTACTTTGCGTCTAATTGCCTGATCCTATCTTCTATTATTTAAAAACTGGAATTCTTGTATTTAAGACTTGAACATTCTTGGATATTCATAATAAGTAATTTTGTTCAGGGAAGGAAAAACTAGTTTGCATAATATCATGGACAACTAAAATCTAAGGATCAGTTTCTATTTTAGCTAGAGATTCACCATATCAGTTAGTTAATAAACATTTACTAAGTACCCTCTATGTGCCAGACACTATGCTAACCACTGAGGATACAAAAAGAAGCAAAAAAGAGTCCCTGCCCTCAAGGAGCTCATGCTCTAATGGAGGTGACAAGCAAATAAATGGGACTTTTCATATGCACTTTCTGGGCTTCAGTTCAGCCTTGCAGTAGTTTTTATGTTCGTCACTGGAATGCTTAAGAGAACTGTAATTACTTTTTTGGGGAAACTTATCACATCTTGGAAAGCATTATTATAGAATCATAAGTTTAGATATGGAAAGGACCTTTGAAGCCATTGAGTTCCACCTCTTTTATTTTATGGATGAGGAAGCCAAGGCACAGAAAGATTAGGGGGCTTGCCTAGGATCACACAGGTAGTATTTCAAGTTGGATTTGAACCCAAGTCTTTCTGATTCTGAGTCCAGTGCTCTACCTACTGAATATCAGCTCCATAGAAATTTTACAGTTGTCCCTATTATAGTGACACAGATATAACTTTTTATGAACCCATAACAGTGATATCCATATCAGAATTTGAATTTTACCTAAACAAAACTGTAAATACCAGTCATTTGATGATTTCACTTTTCTGGTTTACCTAGATTAGCATTTGATTGTTATATATTTTATCAGAAGTTTTGAGAGGTATTTTCTATATATTGGTTAATCGTGCAATAGAAATGGTTTCCAACTTTACATCTGAAATGAGGATTTTGTTTTCTTTTCTTTTCCTGCAGGTTCCTGATGTTATTAGCAGTATAAGGCAAGTGTCTAAAGCAGCCCTGAAAGAGGATGCCAAACCTAATAAAGATAACGAGGATGCCTTTTACAACTCTCAGAAGTTTGAAGTGCTTTATTGTGGAAAGGTAACTGTGACCCATAAGAAGGCCCCATCAACTCTCATTGATGACTGCATTGAAAAGTTCAGTGTACATGAACGTCAGCGTCTCCAGAGTGAGCAGCGCAGTTCTGATTACAGTAGTGACCTTATGGTCCTTGAGTCAGAAGCACCCATTTCACCAGTAGATGGTCAGTTTGAGGAACTTGATGAAATAACCTCTCCTGCCTCTGGCCTAACAATGGTAGCAGGACAGACAAGTTTGTCTGGCTCTCGTGTCTGCTTCCCTGAAAGGATTTTGGAAGATTCTGGTTTTGACGAACAACAAGAATTTCGGTCTCGATGTAGTAGTGTGACTGCAGTTTCTCAGAAAAAGGTGCATGATGGCACCCTAAAAGTACAACCACGAAGAAGACATGCAAGTGCCCCTAGTCACGTCCAACCCTCTGACTCAGAGAAGAATAGAACGATGCTGTTCCAGGTACTTGCTGGGCATTCTGTGAGAGCTTTGCTTTGCAGTCTATAGTATCTTACATTGCAGCCTGAAGGCAGGCTGACAGCCAAGTTGACTTTAGCTAAATTGGTCACCTCCAAATGGGTAATTAAGCCTTCTTTTTCATCCCTACTCTCAAACAAGAAAGAATAGAGACAAAGCAGAAAATAAGAGAAAGAGAACAAGAGTGCTCCAAGTTTGGAGTCAGAGAGAATTTGGGTTTGAGTCAGAGATTCTGGCTGTGGCACTTATAACCTGTGTGGCCCTGGGCAAGACACTTATCCTCTCTGGGCCTTAATATCCTCATATATAAAAGGAGAGAGTTGTACTATATGACTTCTTAGGTCCTTTTTAGATCTAAATGACCTTTTGGCCAAAAGAAGGGAGAAAAGATTTAAGGAAATTGGAAAGGGAGAATATTAGGGCATAAGAAAGGAACATATATGAAAAAAGTAGATTAAAAACAGCAAAGTGGAATAAATTTAAGGGGAAAAAAGGTTATGTTTGTGGCTCTAGGTCTCTCCTATCAATATACTACATAGTATCAATCCATAAATAAATACTATTAACCTAGATCTGCATATAAGACATCTGAAGGGATCTGGGGTGGGGTAGCATATTTGAGGGAATCACCAACTCTTACCAGGCATGGGAGAGGTAAAAGAAATTTCCTAATGAAAAAAGGAAAGGCTGGATGGATAGTCATCAGAGTTTTCTGAGGACACACGTATGTACACACACACACACACACACACACACACACACACACACACACACACAAGCATAGATAGATAATAGCAGGCAATCAGGAAAGAAGACTGAAGAAGTAGTTGATTTAGTCATTGTGTATTTCTGTCATCAGAAGAATTCAGGGAAAGGTATACTGTGGGCATCAGAACAGTGTCTTTTCTACTATTCCCCTTCATTTCTCACTCCATCCCTTACCCCTGCCAAAATAAAGCAACTTAAGGTTATAAAATAGAGAGATTCTGAAGTTCCTTGTGTTGTAGGACCAGAGAGGTAGTTTGGTCAACCCACAGCACTTTAGGGATATTCCTCAATTATCAACATACAGATGAGAACCTTTGCTTATTTTTAAGGACCTTTAGAGAGAAAATGCTAAAATTTCCTTTGGTGACTCATTCAAAAAAATTTTTTTTTGGGTGAGGCAGTTGGGGTTAAGTGAGTTGCCCAGAGCCACAGCTAGTGAGTATTATGTGTCTGAGGCTAGATTTGAACTCAGGTCCTCCTGATTCCAGGGCCGGTGCTCCATCCACTCTACCACCTAGCTCATTCAAATATTTTAACAATCATTAGGTTCAGCACATATGGATCACCTTCATAAGGAGGAGGGTACCAAGGGAGCATACTGATTAGATTTGTCTAGACTAATATGTAAATTTTAAAAAGATTTTAAGGGTTATCTTTCCCTTTTGGGTCAGTCTACATTTGTATTATAAATTCTAAGGCTAATACTATATTATTGTGAGGGAACTTGGTAGTAATGGTTTTATTTCAGTTCAGAGTTAAAAAAAAAATCTACTACAAACTTGTCTCACAAGAAGCTAACATAGTTAAACTTATACATTTATACATTTTTTCAAAAGTAGGTAAATTATTTTGGGGAACTGATATTTCATAGCTAAAAGATGGATTGAGAAGGGTTGGTATATTTGGGACAGGTCAATTAAGTGTATATGCATAATTGAATTTTTATTGATAAAGTGAAATTTTAAGTACTTTTACATTGGAAATAATTAGTATGTCTTTATTTTCAAGGTTGGGAGATTTGAAATTAATCTAATCAGCCCAGATTCCAAATCAGTTGTTCTTGAAAAGAATTTTAAAGATATATCTTCTTGTTCTCAGGTATGTATTATAGGAGATAATATTTAAACGAAAAGCCCATATAATACATATAAATATACCCCAAAATAACCAGATCCAAAAAAAAGCTAGGCTTTAGTTTTATATACTTTAAGTTGTTTTAAATTTATGTGTGTTTATCATGTAATCTTAGATTACCACCTGCCTACCCTCATATCCACCCCTAAATAAATAGGTTTCTCAAAAGCTTGAGTAGTGAGGCCTGTGGGTATGATGTGGTCATTCTTATTCCTTTGAACTAAAAGTGATAGAAAAAAGAAAACTACTGTTTTTAACCAGTTCTGTCACATTTCCCATTCCTTTACCCCCTCCTTCTGTTAGTGGCCCCCTCTTTACCTCTACCCCGCAATCATTGGAAAATAAGAAATCTAACAATTCAAATATATTAGTTGGTGACTTTTACTTTTTTTAAATTTGAAAATATTTTAAACTGAGCAAAGTAAAACTTCATAGTAAGTCGCCCCATCTGTTTTACTTTCCCTGTCTGATTGCATAGCCTTACTTAACTTCTTTCTTCCAGCCCTCTTTTCTAGCTTTCCTTAGGCTCTACCTGGTTGAAGATAGCCACATTTAGGAAGAGAATAGTGGAGGGTCCTTTTATGAGTGAGAAGTACTGCTTTCCTCAGCTCAGGGAAGAGGGCCAGTTTCTTTACTGAAAACATGAAAACATCATGTCAGTGTTTTAAGACCCACTGAGCTAATGAGATCCTCTGAATATGGAAATTGTGTGTGTTTTCTTCTCTCCATTCATTATGGAGCTAATGAAAAGTTTTCTTTTAGTCACAATGAACTGTGTCAGATTCAGATTACTTTCACTTTGTGGTTCTTCAACCTACCCCTGGTTACTGGATCACTTCGTGCTAGAGCATCAGTATCCTCTTTCTGCAGCCTTTAAGCTAACTTTAGCATCTTAGGAATCACATTAGGTGTCTGCTGGTTTAGCTAAAGCCTCATTCCCATTTTTATGCTGGCAACACATTTGCTTTTATAACAGTATAGTCCTTCTAGCCAGTTGCTGCATGTGTGAAAGTGCTGGCTGGCTAGAGGAGATTGGAACAAAGGCTAGAGCATTCTCCAAGAGGTGTTTTGGAAGTTATCTGGGCTTGAGTTAAGGAGTAGCAATTAAGTAGGGTGATTTGTAGACGGTACTGATTTACTCAGGCACTGTGGCAGTCATCACTGAATGAAAAGTGTGGACAACTGCTGGCTACAGTCTTTTGTGTGTCGCTCTTCTATTGTGTGGCAGTTTCTAGAGTGTAATTTATTTACGTGGATAATGCATTTTAATGATAACTGAGCAGGCAGTGGCACATAGGGCAAAGGTGGCAAACACGTGGCATGCCACGTTGTAACCTTCAACACGCCCGAGTGAAGCCTGAACCGGATTAAAATGCAATTGGGAAACGTTTAACAGAATAAATGAAAACACAATAAAACATAGATAAAGTTAATGTCTGGTTTTCTGAGTCAGTATGTGGCCTGCAGGGATTCTTATGTACAGTTTAGTGGCCCCTGTTTCTATTTGAATTTGATAGCACTGGATATAGTAAACTTAGAGTTAAGAAGACATATAGTCACATCCTGCCTTTGAAACTGTGATCCCAGACAAGTTGGGCAAATATCTTATCTCTCTGAACTTCGGTTTCTTTATCTGTAAAATGAGGGGGTTGGACTTAAGAGTCAGGAAGACCTGAATTTGAATCCTACTGCAGATAATTACTAGTTGTGTGACCCTGGGCAAATCAGTGATCGTCTCTCAGCCAGTTTTTTCATCTGCCAAATGATAGCACCTACCTCAAACTGTAGTGAAGATTAAATGATATAACATATGTAAAATGCTTTGCAGACCTTAAATTGCTCTATAAATACTAGTTATGATGATGCCTCTCAGGTTCCTTCCATCTCTCAATCTGGATCTTGTGAAGTTCTTCCATTTAAGGAAGAACTAGTTTATGTTAACTCATTAGACTTATCGCCTTGTGTTTGTGTAGCATTTGCATAGTTTTCAGATTTATTCCGTGTTCAGTATACCATTTGATGACAATAGATCCAAAAACTCAGGGATAAGAGGTGGAATATGTATAATATATCACATGGTATGGTGGCTTGATGCCATTAATATTGCTCTTCCTGAAGCCTTGAATCCTATATAGCATTTGTTACAAATAAAGTATGCTTGAGTGATCTCAGTCTTGATTTCACTGGATATCGAAGTCATTGTATGGATCTCCTATACAAACATATACATTCCCTGTGCTCTAATATTGGACTTTAGTGACTTCTTAAAGGGTGTATGTGTATGGGTATGTATTCATTTCTAAGGATACTACACTTTCTTTTCCCTCTCCAGGGTATAAAGCATATTGATCACTTTGGATTTATCTGTCGGGAATCTCCAGAACCTGGGTTGAGTCAGTATATTTGTTATGTGTTCCAGTGTGCAAGTGAATCTTTGGTGAGTGACCTTATTGTTATTTACATCTCATACTGACAAAATAAGTAATTAAAAAAGCTATTTTTTTCTCAATCTAATTAAAGAAGCAATAAAAAAAATAGAGCATGGAGGAAACATTTGAATTCATTGAATGTGCTAAACATTTATTAAGCACCTACTGCTTTGTGAATGGCAACATGGGGATTGTGGATGGAAAACTGGCCTGGAAGACCTGGCTTTAGTTCCTGTTTTTGACACTGACTAACCATGAGAAAATAACTTTTCTATGTCCTTGGAAAGACTGCTAAGACTACTGATGACAGAGGAGTGACTCATCAGCACAGATGGAAGAGTTTCCTCATAGGGAATTGCCCATACCAATGAAATCACAGGTCTAGATAAAAAGTGCATATGCTCGGCTCTGGAATTACAAGGATGGATCTGGTACAGACCCTGCTTTTAAAGAGCAAATGGGGCAAAACACATACATCTCTAATTAGTGTTACACATAGCTACATATACATTGCTGTTTGCATATTATTTTCCCCATTAGATTGTGAGCTCCTTGGGGGCACAGACTGTCTTCTGCCTTTTCTTTGAAGCCCTAGTTCTTAGAACAGTGCCTGCTGCATACCAGGTGCTTGATAAATACTTGTTGACTGGCTGACATAAGTAGCTCTAATGTAAGAGACAGTATGATAAATGCCAAGGAGATATTCAGGCAAAATTTTGTGGGCAGCTTGAGAAGGGAGACATCACTTTCACCCGAGAGGATTTCAAACCCCATAAAACAGCAGAAGAATGGAACACCAAAACCAAATTGTAGCCATGTTCCCTTTCCTAAGTTTATGCATTTCGTTGAACTTAAAAATCCCATCGTTTAAAAAGTATGTGCGTGTTTTAACATTGGGAATGCAAGGGAAGGCTGCTTTTCTTTTTCCTTACTCACTGTGAGAGGGAGAAGAGAGTTGATTCCTTATTTCCTTCCAATCTGCTTTCAGAGTAAGACAACAAAAACCAGTGAAAGGCTGGGGGGAAAAAAGCTGGGTTTTTTCCCCCCTTTTGCTTTGATCTTTATCTTCTTGTCTGTGGTCTTTGGGTATTTTTTTTTTTGGCTTTTAAAAAACAGATTTTCCTATTTCTTTTACATTGCCTTGTTTTCTGGTCTGAATTTTCCATGTGTTTTTTACCCTCTTCCTGTACTCTTTTCTTTATCTCCAGCTCAAAATAATCAGTTTTGTTAATTAGAATACAGGAACCAACTGAGTAAAGCAGGCTTAGATAAGAGTTAAAAAATTACTTAGATATTTTTAGTCATCCATACTTTTTACCTGTTCTCTACTCAAGCCATCTTTATTATATATTTAATACCATTTCCTTCTTTCTTCAACACCTATAAGTATCATACCATTGCCCAAATACAGTAACTGTGAAACATTATGGGTATCACTTGGAAGCACACAGCACAGAAAACTTGGACATTGTCTTCAGGAATATGCACATCCTTACAAGTTATACATATACCACCTTGGACGTCAGTCCTGTTGTTCAACACCTCTTCCTCCTGCTCCTGCCCCAGCCCCACTGCAGCCTTTGCTTATTATCGCTTGACAGTGACAGAGACTGAATGGAAAAGTAGAGGGAGAATGGATGGAAATGTCCGTACTTCCCAGTGTCATTCACTGTAAGGGAATTTGCAATTTCTGTCTTCTCCCAAAGCCGGTATAGGCTATGCCCTGTAGCTAAGGGTCTTATTCTGATGTCTAATATGATCTCAGTCAGTTTTTAGGTGCTGGGAAACCTCTACTTTCTATGACTGTGTTAAAGGGAAGAATATGTTAATTAGGTCCACTTTCCTTAATGATTTCTATCCTTACTTCATACTTTTTATTGGGGAGAGGAGAATGGAGAAGATGAAGGGAGTTTTCCTAAATATCCTAAGATACATTTTGACCAACCTGGAAAAAAAGAAGTTACCCTTTGGGTCAGTCTGTTACTTTAGTGTATTTTAGTGATTTCAAATATTATTAAATATTTCTGTTACCTTTGGTTAATTCTCAGGCATAGGATAGTTTTGGCAGAGGGAAATCAGTGTAAGAAGCTTGGGTACCTTCAGCATTAATACCCCAGCAACACTGTGACTAAGGAAACAGACTGGACTGGCTGTGAATGTACTAGCATTGTATTGAGAATATCCTTGAGTCTCAGTTTCAGCACAATTGTTTTTAGAACAAGATGATTCCAGAAACCAGGGACTCTAGTCACCATGATTATATTAGTAAAACACAGTACAAAACGGAGAGACATCAGAACTATGAGATAGAGAACAGTTATATATAAATTATCCACATAATAAGGGACAGCTGAAACAGCTGACATAACAAGGATCAAAAACAAAGTCATTTAAGCAATATGGTTTCAAGTGACAGTCTCATGGATATGGCCTTGGTAGGTGTGTAAGACAGCATATTACATAATCACGCCTGGGGGTCTTATCTTTGTTGAGTACAAAGAATATAGAGGAAGCATTTTTTTTCTGCTCCTGTGCAGCCTGATGCAATTTATTTGAATTTATAAACTAATAGAAATACAAGAATGTTCTACTCCTGGATTAGTATAGTACATAAGCTGAAGAAACCAAACTATAGGATTCAAAGCAACTGGAATTTTTGCCAGATGTTCCTTATCCAAAGGTGGATGATATTCACAGAACTTCAGAGTAAAAAGAGACCTCAGAGGTATCTAGTCCAACCCCTACCTAAATGAAAATGCTTTTTTCAACATGGTTGACAGGTAATAATCCATCTTCTGATTGAAAACCCTCAGGGACCCCAGTGTCTCCCACAAACAGCTAGTAGCTATTTCTACTTTTCAACAGCTCTAGTTGTTGGGAAATTTTTACTTATATTGTCTCTTAATAATGCCTCACTGCAACTTCGTCCAACTGCTCATAGTAGAATAGTTCAAGAATGTAGAGATAAAAAAAAGTAGACTTTCTGCTTCTAAGTGAAGCAGAAAATTTGGGACAGCAGAGTCATATGAATATTCATGAACTTCATGATACTGTAAAAAAGCAAATATAACATGGGGATGTATTGACAGGAACAATATATGAAGTTTGGGAAGTTATTCTTTTACACTTGGCATTGGTTAGATCTTTTGTTAAATCCTGTATTCAGTGTTGGATGTGCATATTTAAAGGGATGGAAAAGCTAGCGGCTGTCCGGAGAAGAATGATAGAAATGGAGAGTCCATTGTCTAGATTTTTTCTTTGCCCTCATTATTCTCCCTCGTGGTAGTATACTTTTCTCTTAAATAGTTCTTCTCTTCCTCCTTTTCCTCTTACCTCCTCTTCTCAGGCTCCTTGTAGGCAGGGACTGCTCCTTTTTTTGTGTGTATTTTTATCCCCAGTACAGTGCCTTGTGCATGAGAGGTAAGTAATATTTATTGAATTGATTTGAAGGAATGGAACAGTAGTTCATAGGAAGAAAAATTTTTAAAAAAATCTATGATTGTTTAGCCTAGAAAAAGAGATGAGAAAGGGATGACTTAATAAGGATAGCTATAGGGATTTGTTAAGAGCATAAAGCAAATGGACTTAGTATGCAGCAAACTAGAGCCATACAACTAAGTCATTAGACCATTTGGAGATTCATGGACCTCATCCAGAAAGTCCTCTTTTATTTCTTCATGTGCCTCTCTAAGAAATAAAAGAAAGCATTCTTTAATTTATTCGTTCAGCAGACATTTGTTAAACACCTAGAGTGTATAAGATACTGTGCTAGGTACTTGGGATATAAAGATAAATGCTGAAGAGCCTTTGCCTTCAAAGATTTTTGACTCTGTTGGTAGTGAAACAGATTGCCATTTTGTTAGTGTTGCTCTGTAAAATTAGGATTGATAACTATTCATCTTAGATGACTCATAGATATGTGCAACTGTATAAGGTAAGAGACAGAACAAGATAACATCTTGAGATCCTTTTGTAACCTATGAGCATTTGAATTACTGAGATGGCTTTAAAAATGCTAAGTGGCATAGTGGATAGAGCACTGGGTCTGGAGTCAGGAAGACCTGAATTCAAATGTGACTTTAGGTACCGTATGACCCTGAATAAGCCACCTAACTTCTTTTTGCCTCAGTTTCTGCATTGGTAAAACGGGGATAATAATAGCACCTATCTTCCAGGATTGTTGTTAAAATTAAATGAGATAATAATTGTAAAGTACACAATGCCTGGCACATCATAAGTGGTATGTAAATATTATTCATTAAATTTATCCTTAGTAGATTCTGCTAATGTTCTAGGAACCCTATGGGAGATATAAAATAAAACAGTATGTTTAAAATTATAGAATAATAGTAATCGGTGTATTTTGTTGGAATTTGGTAGAAACATGCAAATAAATTTGAGAGCCTTTTGGAAAGGATTCCATTTCTGTTTGTTGTAAAAATGACTAAGAAGATTTTATACCTAGATCTCTCTGTTCGGCATAGTCAATTATGCACGGAATCTTTTACGGTAAGACTAAATAAATTGAACAAGTTAAACCCATTTTGAAGCTACTATTATTAATCAAGGACTAATCCTTAAGTGCATTTAGTAAAAGGTAGCCCCCTCCCCAAACAAACAAATCAGTCCATAGCAGTGAACATACATACATGTGCCATTCAAAATCGTTTTTTGGAAAACTGAGCACAGTGAAAACAAGCTAAGGGGCTGTGTATCATACTTTCCCCTCACAAGTTTTAGAGCCCTTGATTTTTTGAAAATGGAGCGTAAAGTAGCTGATCCCAAAGGCCCTGTGAGTAAATCCATTTTACAAGAAATTCTTCCCAAGCATCCATCATAAGAGGATAAGAATAATACATTAGACTCTTAATCTAGTCTGCATATTCAGTGCCTTGTACATACATATATGGAAGTTAACCTACTTGTTTAAATAGCACTGTTTCCTTAAACTAGGCCAAAAGGGTAGGGGACAGTTTCTAAAAAAAAATTATGGTCTAAGCATGATTCTAGTTTTGAATATCTAAAGTGCTTCTGGTGAGGAGTTATCACCCTTAGTTGTCTGCAGGAAAACTGTAGAGTTTGATCTTTTTCAGGTCTGTGGGGTGTGGGAAAACCATACTACTGTATTTGTGGTTGTATCACAGAGCAGGCAAGGGCGCAGGCTACACAACTGAACAATGACTATAGATGAGCTGTTACTTGGCCCTCAAGTGTAGCAGCCAGGAAACTTAGAAGTCTGCATTCAAATCTCCTGATCCAATTGAGTGAAAGAACAAAAAAGAAATGAGTTGGCCTGAGATGCTGCCAGGTCAGTAGTGGGACCCAGAGCTTCGTCGGTATTTGACGTGGGTCAAAAGTAGAATGATGCTCAGTTAGAGGTTCTGAGGACACATCATTGACCATAGAATTTTTTTTTCTGAATTAAATAGGTTACCTAAGTCATTTCTTCCTTCTCCCCCACAAAACCATATCAAAAGTAAAATTATATGAGTAGATACTACCACTACTGATAGCTGTTCATAGAACAACAATAGACATAGCCAGAAAGCAAGCTGTTCCTGATTGATCTTGCAAGTGATCTTTTTAACTTTCAGGAATCTCTGTCAAAATATTTAGTTTAAAAAGCATACGAATCTGTGATCAAATGAACACTCAGTCAGACTGATTTGAAAACTACATCCAGGTAATGAGTAATCAAAGCTTACTTCAGATTCCCATTGTTTTGTCTCTTCATTCTTTTGCCAAGTCTTATATTGCTGAATAAGTTTTTTATTTGGTACCACAAGAGCAACGTTTTATAGACTTGAATTTTGTTTCTTCTTGTAGGTTGATGAGGTAATGCTCACCCTGAAACAAGCCTTCAGCACAGCGGCTGCCCTTCAGAGTGCCAAAACACAGATTAAGTTGTGTGAGGCCTGTCCAATGCACTCTTTGCACAAACTCTGTGAAAGAATTGAAGGTATGTATTGACTTGACCTCCATAAAATAAGTTTAATTTTTGCCTGGTACATAGGAGATGCTTAATAAACACCTGTTAACTTGTATTTGCTAAACCAAAAGAAAAAGTTTCTACTTTTGTTAAATGACTCTCTATTTCTGACCAAAGCATATGTTGTATTCCCTGGATGTTCGGGTGGAGGAGATAGACAGAGAAGAGCTGCCCTTAGCAAAGTTCTCTGCCTCAGATAAGCTTTGAGCAAATATTTGTTGAAAGGAAGGAATACAAAAATCTCACAAAATGTTACTATTGGTCAGTGATTTCTTTTTTGTTATTGATGTATTTATTTTTCTGAATCAAAATTCAGAACTTTTAAGAAGGACTGATAAAGCATTCTCTAGGGGACAAAGCATGTCTAGAGTTTCAGGAAAAGAAAGGAAAAAAAGTGATTTTATGAGAATTCAGTAACTCATATTTGTATAGAATAAGCTTTAGTTTTGAAGAAGATTCCATACTTATCTCATGGAACTTTGAATATAATGACATTTCTTAAATGGATTTAGTGGTTAAAGCTTGATTCCTGGAACAAGTTAAGAAGCATTCAGATTTGAATTACTTGAAATTTTATGAGGTCATGGTCTCACAGACTACATTCCCTAATCATTTGTCAATTTGGGCTGCTGTTTAGGGAAGGGGAATAAAATCTTAAGAGTAAAACATTGTTAACACAAAAAAATTGAATATTCTATTTTAGATACTCTGGGGTCTATAGTAATTTCACTGCTAAATACCATATATTCTTTCCTCCCCTCCCCCCACCTCCCCACCAGACTCTCATTAATTAGATTCACAAAAATATGAGAACTAAAACAGCATTATGGGAGAGAGTTAGTTCCATAGAAATAGTATAGTCAATCAGTGAGTGACTTGAAAGTGTTACAGTTAGATTTTGTGATTTTGCAAATAGAGTTTGGTTAGAAGGTATTTAATGATCTTATTGAAAAATGAGGTTGAGGGTGGAGCCAAGATGGTGGAGTAAAGGCAGGGACTCGTTTGAGCTCTCCTCCAAACACCTTTAAATAATGACTCTAAACAAATTCTAGCACAGCAGAACCCACAAAAAGTCAGAGTGAAACCATTTTCCAGCCCAAGACAGCTTGGAAGGTTGGCAGGAAAGGTCTGTTGCACCAGGGTGAGAGAGGAGTGCAAACCAGGAGCAGGCCTTGGGAGCCACTGAATCAACATCTGCAGCAGCTGCTTCTGGAGCTCTCAGCCCACAGACAGTGGTCAGAAGGAGATTACAAGAGTCTCTTTGCTAGCACTGAGGCAGGACTATTGCTTTGCCCATACCTGGATCCAGGTTGTAGGCCTGGGTGGCAGTCCCAAGACAAGAAGCACTAGCACAACAGAGCTTGTAGGCACAGTGGAGTGGGGACCTTCCTTCACAGTTCCAGGGCAGAAAAGAGTGCTTGGTGTCATTTACAGACCAGAGCACAGGCCAGGAGAGTAATAAACACCTCACCTTAGAACATACCACCTTGGAAGAAATGAAAACTTACAGATTTCTAGAAGTATCTCTGAAAACAGTTACACAAAACCCCTGAAGCTTGGGACAGTGCACCCTCCACCCTGGAAGCAGAGCCCTACTTTAACAAAGAGTTAAAAGTCAAGTAATAGGATGGATAAATGAACAAACAGAAATAAATTCTGACCATAGAAAGTTACTATGATGATAAGGAAGATTAAAGCATATATGCAGAAGAAGACAACAAAATTAAAACTCCTATATCCAAAGCCTCCAAGAAAAATATAAATAGGCCATGGAAGAGCTCAAAAAGGGTTTTGAAAATAAATACAAGAGATAGAGGAAAAATTGGGAAGAGAAATGAGAGTGATGTAAGAAAATCAGACTAGGCCAAATACTAAAAGCGGTACAAAAAGCTGATGGGAACAAGAATGCTTTAAAAAGCAGAACTGGCCAAATGGAAAAGGAGATGCAAAAGCTCACTGAAAAAAATAATTCCTTAAAAATTAGAATGGCACAAATAGAAGCTAATGACTTTATGAGAAATCAAGAAACAAGAAAACAAAATCAAAAGAATGAAAAAAAAATAGAAGGCAGTGTGAAATATCTCATTGGAAAAACAATTGACCTGGAAAATACATCCATGAGAGATAATTTTAAAATGATTGGACTACTTGAATGCTATGATAAAAAAAAAAAAGAGCCTAGACATCATCTTTCAAGAAATTATTGGGGAAAACTGCCATGATATTCTGGAACCAGAGGATAAAATAGAAATGGAAAGAATCCACAGATCACTTCCTGAAAGAGATCCCCACATGAAAACTCCCAGAAATATTACTGCCAAATTCCAGAGCTCCCAGGTCAAGGAGAAAATATTGTGAACAGCTAGAAAGGAAAATGAGGTTGATTGGGATAATCTTATATAGGATATACTTGGGTTAAATTGGGTATATTGGGTTAAAAAATATGTAGGCTTGGAGGAGAGGGAAGGTGGGTGGGGGGAGGACAGTTGATCTGGGACTGCGCTCGGTTGCCACCACTGCCACTGCCGCTGCCATCATGCCAGCCAGTCAGTTTCTGCTGCTAGGTGAGAATCCAGAATGGGAGACAAGCCGATTTGGGAGCAGATTGGATCTAGCTTTGTGCAACATTACTACCAGTTATTTGATAATGACAGAACCCAATTAGGAGCAATATATATTGATACATCTTGCCTTACATGGGAAGGGCAGCAGTTCTAGCCTTCCATTTCAGAAAATCCAGCACAGCATCACAGCTCAGGACCACCAGCCCACCCCTGACAGCTGTATACTCAGGATGACGGTGGGGCAGCTAAAGGCCGATGAAGACCCCATCATGGGATTCCACCAGATATTTCTATTAAAGACCATCAACGATGCTTGGGTGTGCACCAACGACATGTTCAGGCTAGCACTGCACAACTTCGGCTGAGCCTCCTCTTCACCAGGCACCCACACTGTTTCCTTCTCTCTGTTTGAACATCTTGTGCGTGATGTTTGGACATTAGACTAGCTGCATCTGACAGGAGAATTTTGTGTTGTATCAGCACATGCCTTAGAAAGACTAAGTAATGCAGAAGGTTGTCTTTTTTTTTAAATGTACTGACAAGTTGCTCTAGTAACCCAAAGAAATGAAGGAGAAAGCAGCAGCTGTGTGTGCAGTCCTGACCTTGATTTGTTCAGATGTTCAACGCCTCATTATACAATAAAACCATGAAAATTTTCTTTAAAAAAAGTAAGCTTTTTTTGCCACAGAGATGCCTCACAGTGTCCATCAGCTAGTGATGTGTTGGAAATGGAATTACTGGGATGGGAATTATAGAGTAACAGTATCAGAAAGAGGAGATGAAGAAAAGAGATTAACAGCCCATGAAATGCCATTCATCATGGTGAAATGTGAGGAGAAGTTGGGCACCTACATGGTCCTGTTTTCTGTTCAATGAGACAATGTGAACTACTGAATTGAAGCTGCTAAGGTCAGTGAGGATATTTGTTCTGCTATTACAGATAATTGGAAAAATATTCTAAGTGTGACTTACAGATATTACCCTGCTTCTCTTTTAGCTAGGTGGTGCATTGTATAGAGCACTAGGCCTGATGTCAGAAAGATCTGAATTTGAATCAAGCCACAAGTACACTTACTAACTATGTGACCTTGTTCAAGTCATTTAATCTCAGTCTGCCTTAGTTTCCTCAGCTGTAAAATGAGGATAATAATAGCACTTCCCAGGGTTGTTGTGAGGATCAAATGAGATAATATTTGTAAAGCACTTAGCACAATGCCTGGCACATAGTAAGCACGTAATAAATCCCAGTTCTCCCTCCATCCTTTCCTCCCTTCCTCTTTTTTTTTCTTCCTCCCTTTCTTCCTCCCTACTTTCCTCTCTTTCTTTGCTGCCTTTTATATAAATGAAATTAATATCCATTGACCCTGGTTGCATAATCCATGTTAGCATTGTAGATAGAGACTGGGGATACTGATCAGTCTGGGAAAAGTGAGAGATGCATCCATCCTCTAGTGAAAAGCATTTGGGAGAGCTGCTAAGAAATTATTTCTCCCCTGGAAAATCACAAGCCTTTTTTAATCATGCTGTGATCATATTTATTAGCCAGGAGATAGTATAAACAGATAATGGAACCTGAAGCAACTTTAAAAAGTTCATATCATAGAAAAGATAAGCAGCTGGAGGCAGAAATGAAGTACTTCAGGACAAAGGGCAGAGATGAGGTTTCCATCTCACGAATCTACTTTTAGATTCTTGTGTCAGTCTATATCTTGTTGCTTCCTATGCTGAGAGCAGTATCCTAAATGCTTTCTCTCCCCTACAAAGTTTTCCTCAAAAGGTATTGAAGCCAATCCTAAAGAATTCATTGGTTTGGGGAACTAAAGGCCCAAGCATTTGACATCACTTCCTTGTCACCTGAATACACACAGACATGCCCTAATCACTGTAGGATGCCTGGCTGGTAGATCATGATAGGCAGCTTAGAGGTCAGGATATGTGATTGGCTGAATCAATGTTCAGTGTCCTCACTGCCCCACTTGCTGGATGGCTTTCCTTTGCTGTGTCTCTATCAGTCTTTTTGTGTCTTATTTCATTCCAATGTCAGGCTTGAACTACCGCTGGCCTGGCCTGAGAGAGGCACGTCCCAGAACATTCCTGTATCCCTGCCTCTTTTAAATAGTTTATTCGGTGAGGAGGATATTTGCAGAGTGAGGGACTTCCTCTAGCCTTTTCAGTCATCACCATCCTATTTATACCTCTATGCTGGAATTTTGTTGCATGTGTGCCTATAATCCTATGGTGAATATTTCCAATATTGTTTGTTTTTAGAAATTATTATGGTACTTTGAATAGGATGGTAACATAAAACTGGTCAAAGAATCAAAGGGAGTGTTTTTGTTTTTTAAAATGGTGTAGAGGAGGCCTCAGCATGTTTATAGGCAGAAGACAGTAGTCAATAGAGGGAATAATTGAAGAGGAAAGTGAAAGTAGGGATGATCAGTAGAGCAAAATCCTAGAACACCCAGGAGGAGTTGAGTCTTTGAATATTTTCAAGGATGAAGGAAATACTCCAGTGTGTCAGGAGTTTGGAATTCTTTGGGACTGAGAGGAGAAGACAGAGATAGTTTTTTCTGCTCAGGTGGGAAGGAGAATAAAGAATTGTAATTCTGAAGGAACTGTTTTAGGGGCATTAGGTATATATAGTATTGAGGTGGCTGGAAGCCAACATGGACACTGAATGCAGGAGCATGGAAAAAGGAAGATGAATGTCATAGAAAATAGATTTAGAGAAGGAAGGGATCTTTGAGGTCATTTCATCCAACTCATTTTCTAGATGAGGAAACTGAGGCTTATAGAGATTAAATGATTTGCCCAGGGTTACAAAAGTAGTAAGTGGCAGAGAACAATATGTGTGAGTAGGTGGGGACTGATGCCTGGAAATTTTAACCTGAGGTAGTAAGTTTGTAGGATACAGTGACTAGAGACTGAGAGCCCATGGTGTCACAGGGCTTGACTTAATGTGCTGGGGCACGTGTGCTTGGTAGTTAAGATCAGAACCTATTACTAGTAACTCCATAAAATATATAATGATACGGAGTAAATAAAAAGAATTGTAGTATTTAGTGCAACTTAGCTGAATCAAAGGAACAGCTGAATTTGCCTTCAGTTTTCTGGAGAATGCAATTGTGGGAAGAGCGCACTGGATAATCTCATGCAGTGGCTGTCTCGTCATGGCTTGGAGGTGATGCTGCCTTCTCAAAAGCCATTTCAGAAGAACACAAGTTCTTTCAGGTTTTACCAGAGTCTTGGCTTAGTTGAGACCTAAAATAAGTGAGAAGATGGTTGAAAGGGCCTACCTACCCCAAAATAAGTTTGTGCTGCCAGGGATGGATGGCTACTACATCTTAGAATATTGAAAAAGAGTTCCAGTCTGTTATCTTTGAATAGTCCCGTAGAAGAGGTGAGAGGATTGAAGACTGACGATTGGCAGATGACCCAGTTCCGTCCCACACCAAAACTATTCAAAAACAAAAAAATGGAAGAGGGTAGAATCTTTAGACTATAACCTGGTGAGCTTGACTTTGGTACCTGGCAAACTTTTAGAATATATCACCAAATGGATGGTTTGTGAACATTTGGACAGTGAAATAGTGATCACTAAGAGCCAGGAAGGTCTCATCAAGAACAGATTATTCCAAATAACCCAATTTCTGGATTTTAGTGAGATATTTGATAGTTTTTCACAGTATCTTTGTGGATGAGATAGATCAATGTCTACTAGTCGGTGATATTTATTGTTTTTTTTAATAGATTTTTTTTTTTGGTTGAGGCAATCGGGGTTAAGTGACTTTCTAAGGGTTACACAGCTAGTAAGTGTCAAGTGTCTGAGGCCTGAGTTGAACTCAAGTTCTCCTGGCTCCAAGGCTAGAGCTCTATCCACTGCACCACCTAGCTGACCCTAGTGATATTGATTATTAAGTGGATTTAGAATTGGTTGGATGACTAGGTATGAAACATGTTGATTAGTGATTTGATGTTTTCCTTGAGCAAGAACTCCAGGTGGAGTGCTCCTGAGAGACATGTCTTTGGTCTGATGCTGTTCACTCTTTTCCTTAGTGACCCAGATAAAGGCATAGGTAGCAGATTTATTTAACTTATTGAGAAGATGATCTATTGTTTTGAATACATAGCTGTGAAGATGGGCAGTAGTGAATTATGTGGAATTAAATTTGTTGTATGATATATTTCGTGTTTCTTCTGATTTTTTTAGGCCTTTATCCACCAAGAGCCAAATTAGTAATACAGAGACATCTCTCATCATTGACAGATAACGAACAGGCTGACATTTTTGAACGTGTTCAGGTAACAAGATCCAAAAATTTAAAAGTTAAAGATATGTAATAGTAAGTGACAGGACCTGACCCTGTGTTTATAAGATTATTTTACTCTTACTCCCTTAACTAAAGTTACAGATATATGGATCATGTTCTTATTACCTAATGGGTCATATCTAAAGTGTTAACATTGATTTTGCTGTTAAAAATAGTTGATATTTTAGTTGCTTAATATTATTGATATTTCCTTCTCCAGGCAAATTAGGAGTGAGAATAACTAAAATAATAGAAGCTACATTGTTAAATTTTTTTTTGTTTTGTTCTGTTCTTTTCATCAGAAAATGAAACCTGTAAATGACCAAGAAGAAAATGAGCTTGTAATTTTGCATTTGAGGCAGTTGTGTGAAACTAAACAAAAGACTCATATTCATATTGGAGAAACTCAGTCGGTAAATTTTTTTTTCTGTTTGTTGGTCTGTCTTTTGAAAATTGCTTGGATTTAGCCAAAATAGCAGAAGAGGTGAATGGAAATTTTCCTTGCCTTAAATTCTAGTATTCCTTAGTACTAAAATCTTCGAAACTATATATATTTTTGTTCACCTTCTTTCAGTGTTTGGAGGTTTTATAGGAAAATTACTAACTGTATTAGAAATATGATTTTAAAGAGCATTGTTTTTATTGATTAAAAAAGATCAAGATGCTTCTGGAATATAATCAGTAAATCACACATGTGTGTAATTAATAAAGGACATGAGCTATTAGGCGTATCATTTTGTTTTCATTTTCTGATTAATCTGATAGAGACTGTGTAGGGTAGTGATGAGATCACTGGATTTGGAATCATAAGACCTAGGTATAAGCCCTTTGTCTGCCTTTTAGTAACTGTGTGACGGTAAGCAAGTTCCATAATCTCATTGAGGCTTCTTTTTCTTATCTGTAAAATTATACTTCCTATCTCAAGATTTTTTGGCGAGAAAACTGTTTTTAAAATTCTCATTCAGGTACAAGTGTGAACTCTGAGTAACGTTATTTGAACAAAGTCTTAGGAGCGCTGAGAGGTAAACCAGCAGAATGGGATGTAGTGATATGGCCCCATGTTTATGAAAACTCCTGACACAAACTAAATCACAGTTCAGCCCTTTTAACCATATTCATTCAGATGACATCAGCCACAGTATAATCTTTAAACAGAATGTTGTTACAACACAGTACAAAGATCAATTCATCAATTAATTTATTAATTCATAAATATAATATTGTTGTGTTGAAGGGAAAAGAAGATAACCTGGGATTAACAGAATGCATCGTCTTTGTGCCAAAAGTAGCTTTCCCTCTTGACATTTTTATTTCTGCCAGTGGCATCATCAGTATTCCAGGAATCTAGGTTCAAAATTTTGGAGTCATCTATGGTTCCTACTCTCTGGCCATGCTCTCCAGTCAGTCACCAGGTGATATTCTATCATAATATCTTGCATCTGTCTATTCCTTTTCGTTTTCGTTTTGTCAGTCTAGCTGAGGCCCTTATCACTTTATATTTTCTCTGAAGGTCCCCCATGCATGTAATGCTCCCTCTCCTCATCTCTATCAGAAGCCTTTTTTCAGTCCTTAATTCTAGTGCCTTCTCTCTGTTGAATTTCCTGTTTATTCTGTATGTAGCTTGTTTGTACATATTTATTTGCTTGTTTCTCTTCTTTTAGATGGTTAGGTTCTCTAGGGCAGGGGCTTTCTTATGTTTTTCTTTGTATCTGCAGTGCTTAGCATTGTTGTTGTTTAGTCATTCAGTCATGTCTGATTCTTTGTAGCCCCCATGGACCATAGCATACCAGCCCCTTCTACCCTCCGCCATCTCCCAAAGTTTGTCCAAGTTCACGTTCATTGTTTTTATGACACTATCTATTCAGCTCATCCTCTGCCATCCCCTTCTCCTTTTGCCTTAAATCTTTCCCAACATCAGGCTCTTTTCCAGTGAGTCCTGTCTTCTCATTATGTAGCCAAAGTATGTAAGCTTCAACTCCAGTATTTGACCTTCCAATGAATAGTCTGAATTAAATTTTTTAAGTATTGACTGATTTGATCTTCTTGCTGTCCAAGTGAGTCTCAGAAGTCTTCTCCAGCACCACATTTCAAATCCATTCATTCTACTGTAACCAGCTTCCCTTATAGTCCAACTGTTATAGCCATACATTGCTATTGAAATAGTTCTGACTATACAGACATTTATTGGCAAGGTGATTTCTCTGCTTTTTGATATGATGTCCAAATTTGCCATAGCTTTCCTTCCAAGGAGCAAGTATCTTTTAATTTTATGGCTGCAGCTGCTGTCTGCAGTGATCTTTAAGCCTAAGAATATAAAATCTGACACTGCTTTAATTTTTTCTCCTTCCGTTTGCCAGGAAATGATGAGACCGGTGGCCAAGATCTCAGTTTTTTGATGTTAAGTTTCAAGCCAGCTTTCACACTGTCTTCTTTCACCCTCATTAAGAGGCTTCTTAATTCTTCTTCACTTTCTGCCATTGACGTGGTATCATATGTGTATCTGAAATTATTGATGTTTCTCCCAGCAACTTTAATTTCAACTTTTGATTTGTGCAGCCTGGCATTTCCTATGATATACTTTGCATATAAATTACATAAATAAGGTGACAATATACAACTTTGTTGTACTCCTTTTCCAGGCTTAAACTAGCCCATTTGGAAAACTCATTGGTGGCTACTAGATTGGAAAAGATAAATTTAAATCGCATTCATAAATGGCCAAGGAATGTTCAAATTACTGAATAATTGTGCTTACTTCAGATGCCGGCAAGGTAATGCTGAAGATTCTGCAAGCTAGGATTCAGTGATATTTGAACTGAGAATTACCAGAAGAGCAGGCTGTTTTTTGGAGAAGCAGATGAACTAAAGACCAAATTCCCAATATTTTCTGGATTATGGAGAAAGCAGGGAGTTCCAGAAAAACATCTACTTCTATTTCATTGACCATACTAAAGCTTTTGACTGTGTGGATTACGACAAAATGTGACAAGTCCTCAAAGAGATGAGAGTACCAGAACATCTTACTTGTCTCCTGAGGAACCAATAGGAGAGTCAAGAAGCAATCGAATCAAGTATGGAACAACCGATTGGTTTAAGATTGGGAAAGGAGTGCTTAGCATAGTACCTAGCATATAGTAGGCACTTAATAAGTGTTTCTTTGACTGATTGATTGATATCTGGTCCTTACAGTAACCACCTTAACTGATCTCCCTTACTCATCTCTTCTCCCCATCATTCTGTCCTGAACAATGTCATAAGATTAATCTTTCCAAAACATTCCTTTCATAATGTAATTCCCTGGCACATAAACTTTCCGAGGCTCTTCATTAGTCATAGGATAAAACCCAAAATCCTTTCACTTGGCACTTAAGATTTTCTATAGTCTGGCATTGTCTTTGTCTTTACTTTTTTGTGTGACCATCCTTCTGGCAGATTGATTTCTTCTCTGTACTTTGGGTATCCTTTGCACATTCTCTTCTTTCATGTTTTAGGTTAGATCATATCTTCTGTCTTGAATCTCCTTCTGTTTTTATTCTCACTCTTTGAATTCTATCCATCGTTCAACACCCCCTTCATTTTCTTGTTTTCCATGAATGCTTTTCTGACTTATCCTGTTAGAATTAAAGTCTTTCAAGGGCAAGAACTATTTCACTTCTGTTACATCTCTGCTGCTTATCAGAGTGCGGGGCACACAGTAGGTACTTGTTTGTTGGCTAATCGATTGCTTATACTGGGGTGTCAAGCTTACAGCTCACAATTTTCTACTTCAATATATGGCCTGCAAGAATCTATTTCGTTTGAGTTTGACAGCACTGGTTTGTACCGCTCATTTTACCTTTTTATCTGTATATCACAACTCCCAGTCAGACTATAAATTCCATTCAGTGGAAAGACCATGCTTTATATCTCTTTGTATCACTTACAATACAGCCATTCTTCAACTTTCGGGGAGGCAATATTCCTAGAAGATGGTGTGAAAGTGAAAAACATGAATGTTGATGCATCGAACCTATGGGAAATAGAATGTTAGAATTACGTGACCACTAAAAATTGGTGATCTTTTGCTAGAGCTTGCTGAAAATACCATTTTCTACATGTAATTCATTATAACAAAACATTAATTCTGATAATATGTACTTTTCCTAACACAGTAATCATGAAAAAACCCATAAAATAACAGGGAAGAGGAGAGGCAGTGCTGAACAGGAGGGAAGGGGCTGGGGCAATGATGTCAGAAGAACCTGGAGGTGAAAAAGAGAAAAGGGCAACCTGCCATCTCTAATCTCCCTTTTGGCTCTGTGGTTGAACTGTTCCCCATACTAAGCACATTCCTTGAGGTGAGTCCCTGGCTCCCCAGTCCAAGCTCAGAAGTCTGGCTGGCTCTCCACTCGGCCCCACTTTGGGAGCAGCATGGGCAGAGACAGGAGGCCTTGACACTAGGCTACCCTAGCATCAACGAGGCAGCAGGATGACCACCATCTCGTTTTCCCATTTTTTCAGTTCCAACATTGTGCACTTGAAGGTTCTTTAGTACTTCCTAGAGCAGATTCCCGAACACTTTTATGAATACTTTTCTTCTTTTTGTGGATATAAACTTGTACTCATTGGGCCTCTCTCTTTTTCTCTACTGCATATAGCCATGGAATGTGAGAGGTTACCAACATGAAAGTTAAAATGAAGATACTAATACACTCACATGAATGCTTGAAGTTACAAAAGTTAAGGGCGTGACTATTGAAGATCGACTATATCTTGCACATAGCTAGTATTCTGTTGTAGTATAGATAGAGTTAGACTGTAAAGGTCATAGTGTCCAATCCTTTCTTTTTATGAGTGAGGAAACAGACATTAAATCAAATATCTTCATTTAATGTAGATTAGAAAACCTAGGCACAGAAAGGTTAAGGGACTTGTCAACATGTGAGTTAATTGACTGATGAAGTGCTTTACTTGTGTACTTTCAGTGTACCTATGAAAAACCTTTAGAAATAGAATATAGCTCTACTCATTCTCTGATGAGTAGACTCATTCTCCATTGGAATGTCCTGCTGCTGTTTTCTTCAGCCTGTTTAGTATAAAACCATGTAGCTTGTAAAAAGGACAGACTGTAGTGGTAATCAAAACAGTATCAGTGACTCTCATCCTACCAAATTTAATCACTTCTCATTACCTTTAGAAAAAATACAACAGAGACTCGACCTTTTATCTTAATACTATCTTTATTTTTGCTCTTAACACCTGAAGCTGTGTTCTCTATATGCCATTTGTGCACAATTTGAACCACTGAAACCACAATTTGAACGCCTTTATTTAGGTACAGTAGGATTCTTAGGTTGCCTAAGATGTACAATAACCCAAAAGAAAGAAGGTAAGCATGATTAAATGTGACAGTGTGATGTAGTGAAAAGAACATTGTGTTGAGAGTTAGGACACCAAGTCTCTAAACCTAGTTCTTCCATACCTTTTTAAGTTACCTGGCACAGGTTGCTCCACCGCTTCAGACTTTAGTGTCTTGATAGGATTTGGGGGGCGGGGAGGGGATCAAGACTAGAGGTTGCCTAAGTTCCCTTTCATTTATTTGATTCTGTGATTCTGTTTCAAAATTAAAATTCATCTTTCTTCTTTTATAGACGCTTTCTAATAATACAGTTCCTGAAAATGTGGGCAGCAGTGGCAGGTTCAAACTTGACATTTTGAAAAACAAAGCTAAGAAATCCTTGACCAGTTCTCTGGAAAATATCTTCTCAAGGGTAAGTCAAGTACTATTCTATGTAATACTGACTATAAATCAAGGCACACTGTTTCATTTTTTTCTAAATAGGCTAACAGACTCTTAACTTGTCATCAATTAAATTAATACCTTTATTTAAGTGGACTCTAGTTTAAAGAAAATTGTAAACATGAACTTTTATATCTGGTGTTATTATGCTGATTCTCATACCTGAATAATCTGTAGAGTTTGAGTAGTGGAGACAAATACACAGAAAAATGAGAGTCTGCAGATTTGGCAGTTCTTTGTAGGCTGGACTGGGAATAGACTTGTTAGGAAGTAATTGCAGTAGTCTGGTTAAGAGGTGATTTTTGAGGGCTTGAGTGAAGTGGTAGCTATTGTGAGTGGAGAAAAGAGGACAGATATGAGAAATGTAAAGATTTAGAGCTAGAAGGGACCTCAGAGGCACTTGGATATGTGAGAAGGGTGAATGAGAGTGAAGTTTACTCTGAGGTTTTGAATCTAGGTGAGTGGAACTATGGTGTCTGTTTTTGGTAAAAAGAAAGTTAAGACCAACAGTTACTAAGCTGAGGTTGTGAACTAAAAAAAATGGATTTCCTTTATAGTCCTATGCATCTTATTTTATGCACTTAAAGATATTATTCTGAGAAGGTTCATTTGGTTCCACTAGATTGCCAAAAGGTGGGGGAGGGGAGGCCTATAACACAAAAAAGATTAAGAATCCCTGCTTTTGGAGGAAAGATAATGGATTCTGTCATGGGCTTTCGAGTATGAGATGCCTGTGGACATCTAGGTGGATGGAAGTATTTAGCAGATTTGTTAGTGCCATGACATTGCAGATTATGAGAGAGATTAGGGAGTCATCTCCATAAATAGTTTAAGACTGTCTTCTGAGTGAGATTCAGAGATGAGAGCAAATCATTGCTGCATTTACCAACTATAGTTATCCCTTCTGTATCGTGATTTTCCCTATCATGCTTTTGATATATTTGAGTCAGCATAAGAGATTAAATGGGAATTTTTGGAGAGTTTTGTGGAAGCCACAGATGACATGTGAAGGCCAAATACTTAACCAAAATTTTACAATAAGGTACTGTAAATATCCCATAAAAGAAAAAGAAAAAAATTTCAGTCTTGTCTGGTACAAAGGAAGGTGAAAAAATTTTATGCTGATTTTTTTAGATTGTGGGAGACATGGCGTGCCATGCCTTTAACTCCTGCAACGTGAAAGGGATAACTATTTCATATAAGTAAACATGGTAGTGCAGTGGATAGAGTGCCGGGCCTCAGACACTTACTAGCTGGATGACCCTGGACAAGTCACTTAACACTGTTTACCTCAGTTTCCCTATCAGTAAAATGAACTAGAGAAGGAAATGGTAAACCACTCCAGTAACTTTGCCAAATGAGGGCACAGAGAGTCAGACACAATTGAAAAGTGACTCAACAACAACAAAATAGCAGAAACTCAGTTCATGAAGAACACAGTACAGTTGAGGAGTCTGGGAAATAGTATATATTATAGGAAGATCTAAATTGTGATTATGTAAAGAAGGGTTTTAAAAAGCGTGTTTTCATATCTCATGTCTGCAGCAGGTGGTGAGGATAGAAAGAGTGGTTTCAGTTTGCAGGTGTTTTAATTCCATGATTTAGTGCTTTAAAAGAGAATAATATCATATGCCTGATTACATTTTGTGAGAATGCCTCTTCTGGTCATTCTCTGAACAGGCACAGCAGTAAGGTTTTACTTATAATGCATAAATGCCTTTTAAAGATAGATTTATGCATATATAGGGGTACAGAATGATATTGTGAATTGTTAGTTTCTTAACTGATTAGAATATTTAAAATAGTAAACATCAGACAGTATATGATAGAGAATTGTAAGAAATTTTAATAGAGATCGTGTCCTACAGTAGGAAACTACTTAGCTTTAGGAATTTTGCATATTTGTAGAATAGAGAATTAAGGAAAAAATAATTTCTGATATAATATATTGTAGCTATTTTTTTTTTTGCTGATATTCAAAGTACTTCCTACCTTGCAGAGGAGTTCAGTGGTTAATGTGAACATTTACAGATAGAAAAACTAGGACGCAGAGTGAATTAGGGATTTGTCAGAATTGTTTATTAGTGGAGTCTGCGATAGAGTACAGGTTCACTGGCTGTCTTATTTTTTTCTGTTTTTTTAGAAATAGGTGGTTTTTAATTTTATTTTAAGTATGGAAGACTGAAAAGTACGAAGTAATTTTAGATGTGGTTTAATCTACTTGATATCATCTACATTCCCTGCTGTATTTGTGTTCCTGCTGTTAGTTTCATATTTTTTATTAGGATAGGTGAATATTTTTTAAATCCTGGTACCATGCCAAGTAATATTACTCACAGGAGAAATAGTCTGAAGTTCAAGGGATGACTCTTAAAGCATTATTTAGTGTATAATTTAGGATTTAATATATAAGTGATTATACATATTAGAGATTCATATTCCACAATGGTTCTTTGAACTCTATTTTTCTTCATAATAATGATTATTCAGAAATTTGTTGATTTGCTACAGATGATGAAGCTCTAGAACAGTAATCCTACCTGTTAGAAAATTCTGTCCGTTGTAACTATATTAATGGAATATTCATTTAAGAGTGTGAAATATGGTGATCTGGGTTACTTAACTTCAAATGAGGTAGAATTTAAGAAGCATAACTTGAAATATTGTAGAACTACAAAATACAGATTATTGGAGCATAGTAGACATCAATGTTGAGCCTTAGGCAAAAGCATCACATTTTTTAGGGGAAAAAGAAAGACTGAGCCATTGTTGAGGAAACTCCTTATATGATTTAAAACTTTATAAGCTCATAATATGTTTAAGAGCTTCGGAAAGGGAAAAATATTGGCTTCTTTAAGATTGCAGTTATCTAAAAATTTAATAAGTGCCTGCTATGAGTCATATACTTAGGTAGACACTGGAGATCCAAAATTTCCATTAAGAATCCAAGTTTTAAATAAATTGCAAACAGGCAAGCTATAATATATAGATAATTGATTCTTCCCTTATGAGGAATGGGGGGAACTAGAAATAAGTAATATAGTATGTCAACAAAAGCCAAGATCTGTGACCATATAGGTAAATTTGTATTTGTAATTTTTAAAAATAGATTTTATTGATATCTTTTTTTCCCCATCACCAGAATTTCTTAGTGTCCCCCCCTGCCCTCCAAGAGGGCCATCTGATGTAACAAATATTTTTTAAAGGAAAAAAAGGGGAAAAATGGGGAAAGCCTATCAATACATCAAAGAAAATCTGCAAACATATACAATATACCATAGTGTCGACACCCTGCTGTTTTCCTATGGCTTCAAAGGAGCGGGATGGGTGTATTTTCTTAATTTTTCTAGTTGTTGTACAATTCTCTGACCCCAATTACTTTGCTTTTATTTTGAATATATTTTGTATTTACTCTTCTGTGAACATGCATTCCCCCTTTCCCCTTGCCAACTCCCTGGTAGAATGTAAGCTTCTTGAGGGTAGGGATTGTCTATCTTTTGTTATTTGTATGTCTAGCATTTAACACAGTCTGGTGCATAGCAGGTGTTTAATAATGCTTATCAATTCATTTGAATCCTATGAATTGGAAAGATTGAGATATTAAATTATTTTATAAATAAAAAAAACTTTATCCTCTGATAAAACCTAAACAAAAGAATCATTTTTTTCTTCAGTACCACTACAGGCCTTTTGTGGCAATTGTTGATCCATGAAGTAGGATCATTAAAATGGAATGAGACAAATGATATTTGAATAAAACTGAGATGCTGTCATCTAATACAGTTATCTTTATTTCTCAGTAACCTGTAGAGCTTGCTAATGGTAGGACAGGGAAGAGTGTATGTGTGTGTGTGTGTGTGTGTGTGTGTGTTGTGTGTGTGTGTGTGTGTGTTACTTATACTACACTATTCCTCTAAAAACCCAAGGCATCAAATATTTAACAATTTGAAGGTGTATTCATTCCTTATTACTATACCTGAAACTTAGTATTAGTATCTTTTCATATCAAGAAAAATCTGTATTTTAACAAAAATAAATTGCCTTGCTAAGCGTTTATTTCTGTGTACTATAAAGACTTCTGTCTAATCTATCCTCATGTATTATATTTTTAAACTAATTATAATGACTGTTTAAGTCAGATTCACTGGGCCTTTTTATTTTCAAACCCTCTAGTTTAATGAACTATGGGGAAAATAATGCTGTAAAAAAATGAATTCCATTTGTAGGTAATAATTCCTTACATTGTTATATAGTACTTTAGGCTAGACAGTTACTTATCTTGGGGTGTTGTCGAGTAGTTTTATGTTTCAGTTGAGGATTAGATTAGAATTATAGGATCAAGGAGCTGGAAGAGATCTTGAAGGTCACCTTGTTCAACCTGCTCCTTTTACAGAGATAAAAATGACCTCTGAGGTCCCTTGTAAGCTCCAATGTTCTATGCCCCTTTGACAGCTTGACATCCTTCTATTTGATGCTCAGGAAGGTTCTCATGCTTTGCATTGCTAAGACTGACATAGCCTAGTAATAGAGCAGCAGATATGTTTCAGTCAAGGTGGTGTACTGTAGACTTCGCATTCCGAAGTATTTCAGATTGTGAGACCTAAGAAGGTTTTACTTCATGCAAAAAAGAATAGGCTTATTTTTGTGATTTGGAAAAAAGTTCACGTGGTATTCAGGGTTATTTAGTGAAAGAGTTTCTTTTTTGCATATCCAGACTTGACAGTTTTCTTTCTCTGGGCTATGTAGTTAGTATAAGGCTGATGTCCTAGTCATATGGTTTGGCTCACAATCACTGCCATTTTTAGATGTCAAGATATTTTGTATAGCTAACTACAGTTGTTTGTGAAATAGGATCGCCGTTAACTATGTAGAGAAGCTCATTAGCAATACAGAATGAGTCCAAGGGGTAGCGCTGATACACGTATTACCAAACTAGTAAATGGAAGAATTGACAAAGCTGTCTGTACAAGG